ACCCTAAACCCTAAACCCCAGGAAGCCCTTAACGCGCAGGCTTTTGCAGCCTTGGGCATGCTGCAAGATCGCCTTGTGCTCGTCCACAGCCCCAGGGGCTCCCCCAAGAATCAAAGCTCGGGGGGTTTGGGGATTGAGGCTTCAGGGCTGTTTAGGGTTTAGGGTTTAGGGTTTAGGGTTTAGGGTTTAGGGTTTAGGGTTTAGGGTTTAGGGTTTAGGGTTCAAGGCTTGGAGTTTAGGGTTTAGGGTTCAAGGCTTGGAGTTTAGGGTTTAGGGTTCAGTGGCTTGGAGTTTAGGGTTCTAAGTTTGGGTTTAGGGCTTGGAGTTTAGGGTTTAAGTTTAGGGTTTAGGGCTTGGAGTTTAGGGTTTAGGGTTCAGGGCTTGGAGTTCAGGGCTTGGAGTTTTGGGTTTATGGTTTAGTGTTTAGGTTCAAGGGTTAGGGGTTTTAGGGTTTTCGGGTTTTTTGGGGAGAGTCTTAGAGTGTAGGGCGTTCGGGCATTTCTTGGGGCTTCGGGTGTTTCTTTGGGGGTGACAGGGTATAACCCCTAAACCAAAGATCCTCAGCCCCAGCTGTTTTTTTTGGCAAGATCATCCACCGGTTCGAGCGCGGGGCGAGCGCTGCACTGAGTAGGATGCTCTGCCAATGCTGGGCTTTCTTCACAAAGCCAAGGGATGCAGGAGTCTGCAGGAGGATAGGTAGCTGGTTTTCGGGTTCGGGGTTGAAGCGGTTAAGGGAATAACGACCCTCAGCCCTCCAACCCTAGATCCCAAACCCTACACCTTAATTAACCTTTGCGCTGGGTTGTTCACATCCCCCCGCCCTTCCTCCGGAGAGACGCTTGGAGTTGTCCCCTGCCGAAAAAGACACCCAAAACCCCTTTACATCCCCCACCCTAAACCCTAAGCCCTGAACCCCAAAAGAATCAATCCGTAGCCTTAACCCTAACCAACCCAGCCCCAAACACCCTCAACCCCCCAAAAGCCCCAAAACCCCTAAAACCCTAGACAAGCAAAACACCCCCCCCCCCCCAATGCGAGTGAGCAAAGTGACCCTAAACCCTAAACCCTAAATCCTAAACCCTAAACCCTGAACCCTAAACCCTAAACCCTAAACCCTAAACCCTAAACCCTGAACCCTAAACCCTAAACCCTAAACCCTACACAAGCAAAATAAAAAAGCAAGGTGAATGAGCAAAGTGGCGAAGAGCAGCATCCCAGGGCACAGCCGGAGAGCTCAGCTCGCTGCGAAGGGGGGGGGGGGGGGTGCAGGGGCCCGTTTTTTTTTTTTTTTATGTGTTCCTCCCTTCTCCTGCTACTACTACATAGGGTTTTGGGTGTGGGGTTTCGGGTGGGTGGGGGGCTGGCCCAGGATTTTTGTCTTAATAACACCCTGTTACTACTATGAATTGCTTAAGAACCTTCCCCCATTTAAAAAAGTTAGCAATCCCTACAACAAACCCTTAGAAGGAAGACTTGTTTTTTTCTTTTTTTTTTTTTGGGGGGGGGGGGGCTTCTTAAGCAAACAGTAAGCTAGGGGGGGCGCCACTTCCAAGGTGCACGCGCGCGCGCTTCCAAGGTGCACGCGCCGTCTGTGTCCCAGGTGCACGCGCAACGTTGGGGACCTGCGCAGGGCCGAGTGTTCTTGCACCCTGAAGCCTCAACCGCAAACCCTTAACCCTAAGGCCCAAGCCTGAAAACCCCTGAAAGCCCTCTCCGACCCGTGCCACCCAAACGAGCGTCGGGCTTGTTTGGGTGCCAAGATCCCTGAACTAACCTTAAACCTCAAACCCCAGACCCCAAACCAAACCTTGGACCCCAAACCCTAGACTCTAAACCCCGAAGCCTCAAGTCTGAAGCCTAGAACCCTAAATCCTAAAGCTAAAACCCTTAACCCTAACCCCTGAACCCCTAAAGCCAAAACCCTAAACTCTAAACCCAAAACCCTTAAACTGCAAACCCTCTGTAGACAACCTTCAAGTTTGAGACGATGCCAGTCAAATTCTTCCGAAAGCTTACCGAGGTCATGAATCCACCTCCACGCTGAACACTGACGTCCCACGCAAGACCCATGCCCCTAAACCTTCAACCCAGGGCCCCGAACTTTACAATTCACATTCGGACCGCCTCTTGGCCTCCTGTTCTCGTGCGATGCTCTTCAGCGACATCGGCATTGCCAGCAGCAGCGGCCCTAACAATGAGCGGCCTCAGACTAAGGACTCACGGGACATTGAAGGATCTGTAACAGAGAGTTCTTCGGCTTTCAGTCACTTGCACTAACCGAAACATCCTAGCATGTGTGGGTGCCCAGAGCTGCAACCACCCGGAATTGTGTGAGTCGAGTTTGGCAATGCTAGGACTATGATGCCCAAACCTTCAACTGGGTGCTGCTGAAGCATGGGGTAGCCAGAAGCTACAGGAACCCCCTACAAACCTCACCCAAGCCCCTTTCAGGAACCGCTCCGTCTTTCAGTGCCTGGATCCTTCGCCCGCATTGGCCTCAGGATGGCTTCAAGCCTTCCGGAAGTCGGTGAGGGCTCCGGGTTCAGGGTGCAGAGCATTCGACGGACTGGGGTCCTACAACATAGAGAAGCCCCTGAGGTGTTGTTGGGCTATGGCTTCGGCATTGACCAGCGCAGCCCAGCTGCCATCGAAGCAGTGGTGGATCGCCCGGCCCCGAAAAGGGTTTAGGGTTGAGGGTCGAGGGTTCAGGGTTGGGGATTGGGGGTTGGGGGTTGGGGGCTGGGGGCTGGGGGTTGAGGGTTTCGGGTTCAGGGTTTAAGGCTTAGGGCTCAGGAAGGGTTTTGGGTCTAGGGTTTAGGGTTTAGCGTGGGGGATGTAACGTTCCAGGGTGTTTTGAGAGTGGAGGGTGTGGCCAGGAGCATGTATCCTTAAGTTCCCGTGGCCAAATGGTCAAAAAGGAGGGCGAGCTTGAATGCCTGAGCTGAGCCGCAAAGGGGTTCCTGTCTGTTGAGTTTGGGCCCAAAGTATATGCTCCTGAGGCATTGCGAACCTTCAAGCCTTGCAACCTTAAACCCTGGACCCTGAAGACTACCTAGGGAACCTTGCAGTTTGGTGAATGTTTCCGTCACAAAACAATCGGCGCTCAAAACACACATCGTGTTTCCGTTTGGGTGTCCCCCGATACATATATTCTGGCCGTGTATATTCTCAGGCCCTAAGCTCCAGCGGGTCCACACTTGTTCTGCTTGTTGACCTTTTGGCTGAGCAGGCAGGCGTGCCCGCAACATGAGCAGCAGGTCGGCAGCAGCAGCAGTACCAGCAGCAGGTCTAGCAGCAGCAACACCAGTAGTTTTAAAGCAATCAATGATCGCCGCATCACCTTTAAAGCAATGAATGATCGCCACCGCAGATAGAGTGGCCTGAGGACAACCTTGAGATCAGCTGCAGTCGTGCCAGCGGCTGTCGGCGCTCAGTCAGCAGGCTCGGCGGAAGACCCGACAGGCCCGTCTTCGGACGGGCCCCTCGAGACCTCTGCTGAGACCGGTCGGCAGCCGCTGTCAAGGCGGAGGAAGATGCTGAGTTTAAGAAGGCCAGGCAGTGCAACTTGCAGTCTGAAAGCTCGGTTGGGGGGGTTTGAAGTCCACGGGCCCCCAGGGACACGGTTTTCCCCCTCGACTGCTTTGTCGTCGGGACGACTGTACACTTATGTTGCTCATTTTCTATGAATCCTTTGGGCGAGGGCAAGAACTTCCATACAAGAGCTCTGTCCCCTGATGAGGCGTGGGAGGATTTCATCACTGACCTCGGAGCTGGCCGCTTCAACTCCGTGCGGCTGTTAGGCGCCGGTGGAATGGGCGCAGCGTTCGTCTTCCGGAGTGCGGAAGACTTCGGAGAACGCGCGCTGAGGGTGCAATTGGCACCTGCAGCCTCGGAGACGGGGCCAACCAGCGCCGAAATCCGCCAGGCCGGAGGATTCTTTCGCTAATTTGAGTTTGGTCAAAAAATATTTCCGGGGGGGCAATTTCGTAACATGCGTGCCAGGGGCAGTTTAGGGATTAGGATGTACAAAATCACGGACCTGCAAGTGCCAGGAAGCTCAGATGATGGAAGCATTGAGACACCCTAACATGGTGCAGATCTATGAATGGGGTCGAATCAGGGGACACTCGGCTGAAACCAGCACATATTCGGGGCGCAGGGTGAGTGTTTTCGGATATCAGGAATCTGAACACTACACTGGGGCTAGTAGGGCTGCGCGGCGAGGAATCCACTACATATCCATGGAGCTGCTGCAGTCCGACTTGTGTGTCACGATCGCAGAGAGTGGCACTTTCGGCATGGAGCGAGCGGCCTCCGTTCTGGGCCAGCTGTTGAGCGCGCTGCTGTACATCCATGGACAGGGCCGATGCTGGGGTTTAGGGTTTAGGGCTTCGGGCGTAGGTTTTATTAGGGTTGTATTGTTAGACCCTGAAAACCCAAATCCCCAGGCCTTAAAGAAACCAGGCAAAGCCCTAAACTCAAAAGTCCCAGGGAATGCCGAATACACACGCCCAAGGCCTCTTTCAAACCTCAACTGTTCACCATCACATGGCCGATAAATCAAAGAGGATCTCATGCGCAGGGACGTCAAGACGCAGAATATTTTCTTGAGCGGCCATGTGGCAAAGCTGGGAGATCTTGGGCTGGTCTGTCCGAGTTGTGAGGCAGAGTAATTCGCCAATCCCGCCAAAGCCCAAAGCGTAAACCGCGTCCCGCCATGTCATCCCCTCCTCGTACTTGACTTCCCCTGTCTGCAGGGTGACAGCGTCGCTGGCACGCCAAACTATTTACCCTGGGCGATGTGGCACGCTGAAGAGCCAATGTCGCCGCGGGCTGATCAGTTCGGCGCAGCGTGTGTTTTGCGCCGTGGCTAGAACATGTCAATCTAGCATTTGGCCTTATGAAGCTATAGTCAGACTCAGTCCCTGTCAAGCCGACACCAAGTTGAGACGTAGACCCAACTTCAGTGACCCGACGTTGCTCTTGCATCCAGGTATGAGATGGTGGAGGCCGTGATGGCTTTTCCGGCGTGCCCTGCAGGTGTCCAGGATGTACCACAGCATCGCGTGCACCACCGCACATGGCAGTCGCACGGCGGCCTGCTGTCATGGGCATTGGGCGAGCTGTTCGGGCCTCGACTGCAGATCAAGCCAGTGGCCGCTCAGCTGTTTAGCGGCGCCCCACCAACCGAATTCTGACCCAGGCAGTGTTGCCTACCGTATTCGAAGATATTTTATATTTACATCCCCTGCGCCAGGCAGCCTCGCCCCCGAGCGCGTTCAGGTCCAGCGGCAGGCGCGGCCGACGAGGCCCGCAGTGAGGGGTCCCGCTGCTGTCATCTGCCGGAGCTGCTGTCGGTGCTGGCGCAGATGGACGAAGTATTGAAGTCCTCAACCCGATTTGTAAGCCCTTATACCAAAGTCCCGCCTCCTGAACCAGGCAGCGTCGCCGCCCCCGTTGCCAGGTCCAGTGGCAGCCGCCGTTGACCAGGAGGCCCGACTTTGGTGCAGCGAGCACCAGGAGGTTCTCGGGACAAATCCAAGCCCTTTACCAAACACTCACCCAAGCCCTAAACCCTAGAAACCCTAAAAACCCTCACCGACTCGTGGCACCCAAACGAGCGCGGGGCTCGTTTGGGTGCCACGATCCTGGAAGTTAGCCCCAAACCCTGCACCCTAAAGCCTAAAGCTTAAACCCTGAAGTCCAAGGCCTGAACCCTAAACCCTAAACCCTAAACCTCTCAGGACACATCCAAGCCCTGAGCCAAGCACTCAGAGTACTCCCGCTCCCTGATCAGGCAGCGTCGGCCGCGAGTCCACTGGCAGCCAGGGCAGCCATGGCCCTCGATGAGGCCGGCTCTCCAATTTGGGTTCTTTAGCAGCTTTAGTCTTGCAAGTCCCGGCTTTTGCCCCTATCTGCCTGCGTCACAGGATATTGGGGAAGTCATGGCGGAGAGATTCGTGGAGCTGACGCTGACGCCTCTATGCACGAAAAAAACCTAAAAAACCCTAGCAAACCCTAACAAACCCTAAGAAACCCTAAACCCTAAACCCTAAAACCCCCTAAACCCTAAACCCTAAACCCTAAACCCTAAAAAACCCAAAAAACCCTAAAAAAACCCTAAAAAAACCCTAACCAGCCCTAAAAAACCCTAAAAAACCCTAAAAAACCTTAAACAACCCCAAAAAACCCTAAGCCCTAAACCCTAAAAAACCCTAAGAAACCCTAAGCCCTAACAAGCCCTAACAACCCCTAAACCCTAAACCTTAAACCCTAAACCATAAACCCTAAACCCTAAACCCTAAGTCGTGGCACCCAAACGAGCGTGGGGCTCGTTTGGGTGGCAAGATCCTTGAAATAAACCCTAAGTCGTGGCACCCGAACGAGCGTGGGGCTCGTTTGGGTGGCAAGATCCTTGAAATTAACCCTCAACCCAGCCACTTCCAAGCTGCACGCGGCACTTCCCGGCACTTCCAAGCTGCACTCGGCACTTCCAAGCTGCACGCGCTCTGAAAGCCCTGGGCAGCCACCCATTTCGAAGTTTCCGGAATCCGAAAGCTTCAAAATACGTGGTAAAAACCAATGAAAACAAGACGTGTGTGCGGCCTGGACGCGGGAAAGACCGTGATTTGCTGTGTGCGCCTTGGACGCGGACATGCGTGCGCCTTGAACGGTCCGGCCCCTAGGGGTGTGTAGGGTTTATATAGTCTTTAGGCTAGAGGCTGTGGGTTTGCTATGTTTAGGGCATTTTGGGGTTGAGGGTTGAGGGCTTTTTTGCTTCAGGGGCTGATCCCTCAACATTCGGAACCCTAAACCCTAAACCTTAAACCCTAAACCCTCATAAATCGGGTCCCTCAGACATCCACTGATCTACTTCTGATGTGTTAGCTTCGAGGCCGACTGGTTATAACTTCCTCAACAACTTTTTCAAAATTATGAAACCCCAGCTGAGCCCTAGAACCCCATCCCACCTTCGAACTGAAACATTCTTGCCCGTGTCAAGGGCCCCTGATATTGCACTAAACAAAGTCCTCAGGGTTTGCTTTTGATGGCTTCTGGTTTTTCATAGGGTGTAGTGTTTAGGTTTCAGGGTCAAGGATTTAGGGTTTAGGCGGTTTAGGGTTTAGGGTCGTGTATGGAATGTGGACATTTAGGGTGTTAGGGCGTTGGCAGCCATGTATGGTTAGGGTTTGGGGTTCAGTGTACAGTTTAGGTTTATAGGGTCCCCTTAGAAAACGGACTCCAATAAGGTACCCCTACTATCGTAAAGCCCTATTTAGATATTTAGGGTTTACAGGGTTGAGAGTTTTTAGGGCTCAGGGTTTAGGGTTTAGGTGGAGTTCCGAGTTTCGGTTGGGGGGTTTCAGGGTAAGAAGGCCTCCAAATCTACGTACCCTCAACTCCCGAAGTACCCTAAACATGGCCGTGAATAAAACCTTACCAACAGAAGTATCTACAGCCAGCTGCTTTCGGGTCTTCAAGGGGTGGTGAAGCCCTGAACCCTGAACCCTCAAACCCTCAAACCCCTCCAAACCCTGAAAGCCTGAAACCCTAAAGCCCTACGCCCTACAATCTTAACACCCTACACCCTCCAGCCCTTATTCGGATGTTTCCAAAGCGTGATCCTAGAGCGCTCATGCCGACAGGTACGCCAAGAAGCGTTCCAACGGGTATGCTCAAGAAGAGCGGCCGCATGCACAGGACGCCTGGCCATATTCAAGTCTTTTGGGCTCAAAACTGCCCTAAACCCTAAACACCTTACGCCTTACGTAATATGAAAACCTTTATAAAATAAGAGCTTCAAGAGCCTGAAATGTCCGGCGTACGGTTGAGCCCCTTTGCTCTTGTTGTGGTTCTAAGCCAGGTTGCCTCAGAGCTCCTTGTGTTGGGATTTAGGGTTTAGGGTTTAAGGTTTAGGGTTTGGGGTTTAGGGTTAGGGTTTAGGGTTTAGGCTTCAGGCTTCAGGGTTTAGGGTTCAGGGTTTGAGGCACCTCTCTCTTGAAGCAAGATGTCGCACTCGAAAGCCTCGGTCGGTGATGTCCTGCATCTGCAAGCCCTAAACCCTAAACCCTAGTCCCTGAACCCTAGACTAAACTTAAACCCTAAACCCAAACTTAAATCCTAAACTCTAAACCCTGACTCAGCGCAAGCCGTTCGTCCAAAGTAAGTGGTCAGCCTTTAGGGTTTAGGGTAACACCCCAAACCCTAAGCCCTAAATCCGACTGCGAAAGATCGTCTAGAATTGCCTTCCCCCCCCCCCCCCCCCCCCCTCCCACAAAATTACCCCAAACCCTAAGCCCCAAGAGCCCGAAGCTTTAAAGCTCTAAGCTAACAACCTAAACCCTAAATCCTACACGCTAAACCTGTCGAACTCTGAACCCTACACCCTAAACCTTAAACCCCAAACCCATAAACAAACCCCACACCCTAAACCCACACCCTAAACCTTAAACCCTAAACCCTAAACCCTAAACCCTAAACCCCCCTAAACCCTAAACCCTAAACCCTAAACCCTAAACCCTAAACCCTAAACCCTAAACCCTAAACCCTAAACCCTAAACCCTAAACCCTAAACCCTAAACCCTAAACCCTAAACCCTAAACCCCAACCCAAACCTTTCTAAACCCCAAACCTCCCTGGAAAAAAAAAGAAAGCGCAGCCCGATCCCCTCAAGCGCCCTTGAGGAGCCCGACTCAGAGAGTCGGCGTCCCAGGGGGGTTTAGAGGATCATATTCAGGAATATGTTCAGAGGGTTTTAAGGGCCATCCTAGAAGATCAGGCTGGAAAAACTTGAGGCCCTATGTAAGCCTGATGTACTGGTACCAGGCTTGGGACTCGAGGTGATTTGAGCAGTAGGTGTATTTGGTCCCCTAAACCCTAAACCCTAAACCCTGGATAACCGACTGTCGGGTCGTCAGAGAGATCACAATATGGAGCCAGGCATGCTTCACTTGTGAAGAGTTCGTTTCTGTATTTTGGGTGTATGTGGGGTGTTTACGAACACAGGGAACCCCTATAAGAGACCCCCACATAGTATAGGATCCCCTTATAATGAGGACCCCAAAAAGGTATCCCTGATATCGTAAACCCCCCCCATGCGTGTGTGAGAGAGAGCGAGTCTGTGTGTTGGTGGCCTGTGGTTCTCGCTGAATCGCTGCAACAGTCCGAAGCCTTGTTGGGAATGGTGGGCTTCTTCTTCAGGTAGCTTGCGACTTTGGCAGACAAGCTTGTTCAATTTGATTGCTTCAGCCCTAAACTCTAGGAAGGCCTCATGAAGGCTTGGGGGGTGTAGGGTTCACGATCATAGGGCCTTTCAGGGGGGACCTAATACCCTAAACCCTGAACCCTAAACCCGAAACCCTAAACCCTAAACCCTAAACCCTAAACCCCAAACCTACACCCGAAACCCTAAAATCGAAGGGAATGCCTAAGCTGATAAGGAACCCAGGCGGGGTTACAAGGCAGGGGGGTGCAAGGGCCCCATATTCCCCAAAATAGAGAGTTCATAAATCCCACATCAGCCTTAGTAAGCCCTAACCCTAAACCCTAAACCCTAAACCCTAAACCCTAAACCCTAAACCCTAAACCCTAAACCCTAAACCCTAAAACCCTGAACCCTTGCACCCCTCCCCTTCACCCTGAAACCCTAAACCCTAAACCCTAAGCTCAAGGCCCTGGAAGTCCGAATCCCCAGTAAAGGGTTTAGGGTAGATTTTAGGTTTCGGTTCTTTTTTTGGTTTTGGGGTTTAGGGTGTAGGGTTTAGGGGCTCAGGGGTTTAGGGGTTGGGGTTCGGGGTGCAGGGCATTACAGCTGCAGGGACCCAGAGTGGCATGGTAGTCGTTCCCTCAAGGGAACCTACGTCCCAAAGCCCTAAACCCCAACTGAACCCTAAACCCTAAACCCGAAGGCTTCGGGATTTTTGCGGGCACCAAAGCCCTAAACCCTAAACCCTAAACCCAGATTTGTAGAGCCTCCCGAGGCGGCGAGGATAAGGACCTGTGGGGGAGGGGATCAGGGTGCAAGGCGACCGGGCCGAGGCTTACACCCTGAATAACGGCTAAGGTTTAGGGTTTAGGGTTGAGGGGTTAGGGTTTAGGGTTTAGGGTTTAGGGTTTAGGGTTTAGGGTTTAGGGTTTAGGCTTACGGGGCTTAGGGTTTTGTTGTGTTTATACCCTGCTTAGTCCTAGCCGCTTTCCTGACACAAACGCCCCAAAGCTTAAGCCCTAAAAACTCGACCCTAAAATTCCTCTGAACCTCAGCCTCCTTCAACAACATCCAGTTAATGCCAAACCCCAAACCCTAAACCTGAAATCACATAAACCACCAATGCTTAGAAGCCCCAAGCCCTAAACCTCTTTCTTACCAGTACGAACGACATTCTCTTTAAGGACCCTTAAGCCCAGGGTTTAGGGCTTAGGGAGTTCAGGTTTTACCTTCAGCCCTGAATCCCCAAACCTGAAATCCCAAACACTACACGCTGGTGCCGCGCAGCAATGTGGAGTCGTTGCGATGGTCACATAGGTGGAGGGTGCTTGAACGTTCGTCGGTAGCTGTAGGTAGGGATGGCGGGTAAAGAAGTCAAAGGACGGCAGGGGACATCGGACCCTGCATTCCTTTTTTTTTCAATCTTTACTGGCACCTTCAACGGTTAGGCTTTTTTTAGTGGTTTAGCGTCTAAAGGGTTTAAGGTTTAGGGTTTGCGGGAACGGTAACCTGAGTGTTATGCTTTGGCTTTTTGGGGCATGTAACGGGTTTCTGGGCTAGGCAGGCGAAAGTTGCTTTTTCAGTGAGGTGCCAGGTGCAGCCGAGTATCGCGGCATTCTTGCAGCAGTGATGAAGGGTTGGGGGTTACAGTCTTTAGGGTTCAGGGCGGCCCGAGGTATAGGTCAGTTAAAATGATATTGCGCAATATAGGTTCTCAAGCCCTAAAAAGCCCGTAAACCCCAAGCCCTATAGCCCTAGGCCCTGAAGCGCTATCAGCCCCTAAACCCTAAACCCTAAACCCCAGGAGGATGATCGGCTCTACGCACTTCCCAGCGTCTACCTAGCAGAGCTGCCCATCAACATCACGGAGAATGGTGTGCGCCATATCCTGCAAGAGGCCCCTGGGCTCTAAAGGGGTTTAGGGTTTAGGGTTTAGGGTTTAGGGTTTAGGGTTTAGGGTTTAGGGTTTAGGGTTTAGGGTTTAGGGCTAGGGTTTAGGGTTTAGGCTTAGGGGTTTAGGGTTTAGGATTTCGAGTTTAGGGTTTAGGGTTTGGAGGTTTTTCACAGGGTATCTAAGGGTTTGATACGGGTTCCCCGTTAGCTTTCGGTTTCAGGGGCTTAGGGTTTTGGTGTTTCAGGGGCCTGAGATTTTGGCAGGTCCTTCTTCCATTCCCCCCCCCCCCCCCCACAGGTTCTTCAGCACCTGTGAACTAGAAAGTTTCTGCTGTCGCAGGCATAATATCTATCACTGCTTCTGTTTCTAGTGAGCTGCTAAAACTACCGCGTGTTCACTGGCTTGCCAGCTGCTCAAACTGGGTGTCACTGTAGCCTCAGTGTGCCCTCAACATAGGATTCTGCTGGCATGGGCTACCCTAAACCCTAAACCCTAAACCCTAAACCCTAAACCCTAAACCCTAAACCCTAAACCCTAAACCCTAAACCCTAAACCCTAAACCCTAAACCCAAACCCTAAACCCTAAAGCATAAGCCTAAAGCCTAAAGCCTAAACCCTGCCCCCCCCCCCCCCTCCCCTCAAAACTCTTCATCCCCAATCCGCAGCCCCTTTGTCCTCCCGATGGGGGCCCTCTGGCTTTTTTGGGTTGATGTGAAGTATCTTTTAAGTGAAGTTTCGATACTGAATTTTCCAAAATTAGGGGTACCTTTTTTGGGGTCCGTATTTTATAAGGGAATCCTGTTTTTGGGGTATTTTCGTTAACCCGCATATTGCGGACACGGACAATGATGCTGAACCCTAAGCCCTACAAACCCTACACCCGTAAGCATAAACCCTAAACCCCAAAGCCTGAACCCTACAAACCCTACACCCTGAACCCTGAAGCCATGAATGAAGTCTCACACCTTAAGGCTCGCAAAGGATCCTAAGTACCGTTTTGGGGGACACTTACCCAAACCGTAGGAGTAATTCCTATTATAGAAACCCTCCTTGCTACTATGTAGGTACGCAGGCCCTAAACCCGAAGCCCTAAGCCCTAAACCCTAAACCCTAAACCCTAAGATCCCCCCCCCCCCCCCAACCCAGCATCCCCGGAAAGAGGTGGATGCCTACGTTCCCGAATTGGTAGCCGTGAACTTCCTGCAGCAAAAGAGCAAGGCGTGCCCCCCGGGTGTAGGGTTTAGGGTTTAGGGTTTAGGGTTTAGGGTGCAGGGTGCAGGGTTTAGGGTTAGGGTTTAGGGTTTAGGGTGCAGGGTTTAGGGTTTAGGGTTTAGGGTTTCGGGTTTAGGGTTAACGGTTTAGGGTTTAGGGTGCAGGGTGTAGGGTTTAGGGTTTAGGGCTTAGGGTTTAAGGTGCAGGGTGTAGGGTTTAGGGGTTACTTCCCCAGGTCCCTATAGGCATATAGTGCATACTTGAGCCTTGAAGGGGTTCCATTTTAGTACCCTAAACCCTGAACCCTAAACCCGAAACCCTGAACCCTAAACTCTAAACCCTGAACCCTAAACCCTAAGCCCTAAACCCTAAACCCTGTTCCTTCATAGTAGCTTTAGGACCCAAGTGTTTGCTGTAAAGTTGCTTGGGCCACGTGGGGTTCAGGCTCCACACTTGGGCGGCGGCGGTTGGAATCGGTTTCCTGGTAGGCCCTCGGTTTAGGGTTTAGGGTTTAGGGTTTAGGGTCTAGGGTCTAGGGTTTAGGGTTTAGGGAAAGGAACCCCTTCAATCTTTGGTTCGGGCTGGTTTGGGGTTCGGAGGAGCTCAGGGCTCGAAGTGCAGCTTCCTGGGTCTTGCAGCTGCTAATAGTTGATGCGGTTTAGGGTTTAGGGTTTATAGGGTTTAGGGTTTAGGGTTTAGGGTTCAGGGTAGCCATGACTTGCGCAATCCTGCGGGATACCTGCCACTTGGAATCTACAAGCGAGGGTGTAGAGCTTAGGAGTTTTAAAGTATGGTCCTGTAGAAGGGCCCATACGGAGAAAAGGGACTCCAAAAAATCCCATAACTCAGACCCTAAACCCCAATCCCTAAACCCTAAACCCCAAACCCTAAACCCTGAACCCCGAGCGCTCAACCCCCAGACCCTTAACCCCAAATATGAGGTGTAGGGTGTAGGGTTCAAGGTTTAGGGTTTAGGGTTTAGGGTGTGGGTTTAGGGTTTAGGGTTTAGGGTTTAGGGTTTAGGGTTTAGGGTTTAGGGTTTAGGGTTTAGGGCTTTTACATACACAAACTCAACCTCTCGGCGTCACAAACCCGCCAGGGCAGCCATCGCTGCTGCCTCTTGAGGCCAGCAGAACCTTCAACCCACCCTCAGTCCCACATCCTATCTTCTAAGAGAGGGTTTAGGGTTTAGGGTTTCGGGTTTAGGGTTTAGGGTTTAGACCCTAAACCCTAAACCCTACAAGCCTTAAATCCTGAACACTAAGCCTCCTGCACCCCTACACCCTCAACCTCCAAAGTCCTCCCCGAGATCTGCCCACGCGCCCAGTTTAAACCTGGGGTCATGACCTATAATCATGATAATTGGGTTGGCACTTTGAGTCAACCCTAGACCCCAGAACCCTAAACCCTACACCCCAAACCCTGAGCTAGGGTTGAGGGTTTTGAGTTTAGGGTTTCGGGTTTCGGGTTTAGGGTTCAGGGTTTAGGGTTAAGAGAACCCCGGAAGAGCCCAACAGGCAGAGGTTTCATAGGACATAGAAGTGACCCCAGACGGGACCTCAGAACAACTCTGGAATTTTACAGCGGGCTTCTGGAGATTTTAGGGTTTGGAAGAAGAGTACGCGACTCAGCGGCGTGCATTGGGGTAATGTGCTTCTCCGTCTTGGTACCCCTCAAAGCGGAAGCAACGCCAAACGCTACGCCCAGACCGCCCTAAACCCAAAACCCTCAATAAAAGCCCTAAGCCCTAAACCCTGAATCATAGGTTCTCGCAGCGTCCCCCACCTAAACCCTAAACCGTAAACCCTATACCCTAAGCCCCAAACCCTAAACCCTAAGCCCGAAACCCTAAACCCTAAACCCTGAACCCTGAACCCTGAACCCTGAACCTAAACCCTAGCCCTAAACCCTAAACCCTGCAAGGTATCCCAACTTAGAGACGGCGGAGGAGGTCGCCCAGAGGGTGAATGGCTTCATGGTCTACCATCCCGACGACAAGACAAGGTGCCAACTGCAAGGGGTTTAGGGTTTAGGGTTTAGGGTTTAGGGTTTAGGGTTTAGGGTTTAAGGTTTAGGGTTTAGGGTTTAGGGTTTAGGGTTTAGGGTTTAGGGTTTAGGGTTTAGGGTTTGGGGCCTCTTGTAGTGTGCAGGGGTTGATTTGGGGGCTTGCCGTCTACCTTCTACAGTTTCAAGGGCTTCGGAAGAATCTGGCACCCTTAAACCCTAACTCCCAAACCCTGAACCCTAAATCAAGGGTCGATGGTGTTTCTAAGGCGCATGTTTGCTTGAACACAAATCGGTCACACATGGTCACATGGCGCGTAGTAGTTCGCATTGAGCGATGACCTCGATGAAGACAGTTGTTCTGAGACACTTCGTTCTGAGTAACTTCCTAGACTGTCAAAAGGCCTAAACCTTAAACCCTGAACCCTAAACCCTAAACCCTAAACCCTAAACCCTAAACCCTAAACCCTAAACCCTAAACCCTAAGCCTCAATCTCTCTGTAGCCCAGGCCGGTTCGAGCGAAGGTGGCAAAGCACGCCAGGATGTTCAACCAGTTTTGCACGGACGCCTGCCCTGGTCATCCTCAACCCTCAACACGAAGAGTTGGGGTTTGGGGTTTAGGGTTTAGGGTTTAGGGTTTAGGGTTTAGGGTTTAGGGGTTAGGGTTTAGGGTTTAGGCTTTAGGGTTTAGGGTTTGGGGTTTAGGGCCTAGGCCTCACAAGCAAAAAGCTCTGGGGGTTTCACCGCAGGATTCAGGGGTATGAGAAGTGTAGTGTTCAGCTTCCCCTAAACCCTAAACCCTAAACCCTGAACCCTGAACCCTGAACCCTGAACCCTGAACCCTGAACCCTGAACCCTGAACCCTGAACCCTGAACCCTGAACCCTGAACCCTGAACCCTGAAAACTAAACCTGGTGTTCAGGACTTGGGGTTAAATTGGGGTTTTGTCTGTTGGGGTCCGCCTTTGGCCCAAAGGGCAAGCAAACAGAGGGTTTAGGGTTTAGGGTTTAGGTGTAGGGTTTAGGGTTTAGGGCTTGGTGTTCACGGCACACACACTTTGCAACCTCAAAACCTGCACCCTCACCCTAATCCCTGAACCCTCTCTTATTTCGATCCCCCCCCCCCCCCCCCCCGATGCCAGCATCTTTGAGAACACCACTGGTGATGTTCCCTTCCCTTTAGCAGAAGATGCGTCGTCCAATGAGTCTGAGGACGCAACTTGTCAGAGGGCGAGGATGTTGAGGTCCAAGAGCCACACTCACCAGATTATCAGGAAAAGCACAGCGACGATGATGATGACAAGCCTGACGGTGGTTCTTCGTCTTACCCCCCCCCCCCCCCCCCCCCCCCCCCCCCCCCTGAGGTGCCTGATTCTGAAACCCTAAACCCTAAACCTTAAAGCCCCAAACCCTGGAATTGTTTCGTAAGACTGCGTGTCGCAGCAGTAGGTGTGTTTTTTGTTCGCCCAGTTTGCTTGTAGAGACCCTAAACTCTATATATATATATATATATATATATATATATATGGTCACCCCCCCCCTACGACAGACCCTGGAATTGCATTTCCAGTCTGTCCAGGAAGGGGGCGGAAGACCAACACTCCAAAATTCCTCGAGTTTCCAAAAATCCAAAAACCCAAAAAACCCAACCCAAGTTTCGGATTTTTGGAAACTCGAGCGGGAGCCTCAAAATCCAAAAACCGAGCAAATTCCTCGAGTTTCCAAAATTCCAAAAATCCAAAAATTCCAACCCAAGTTTCGGATTTTTGGAAACTCGAGCGGGAGCGTCAAAATCCAAAAATCGAGCAAATTCCTCGACTTTCCAAAAATCCAAAAATCCAAAAATTCCAACCCAAGTTTCGGATTTTTGGAAACTCGAGCGGGAGCCTCAAAATCCAAAAATCGAGCAAATTCCTCGAGTTTCCAAAATTCCAAAAATCCAAAAATTCCAACCCAGGTTTCGGATTTTTGGAAACTCGAGCGTGAGCGTCAAAATCCAAAAATCGAGCAAATTCCTCGAGTTTCCAAAATTCCAAACCTTGGGGTGATTTTTTTGGATTTTTGGAATTTTGGAAACTCGAGGAATTTGCTCGGTTTTTGGATTTGGAGGCTCCCGCTCGAGTTTCCAAAATTCCAAAAATCCAAAAACTCCAACCCAAGTTTAGGATTTTTGGAAACTCGAGCGGGAGCGTCAAAATCCAAAAATCGAGCAAATTCCTCGAGTTTCCAAAATTCCAAACCTTGGGGTGATTTTTTTGGATTTTTGGAATTTTGGAAACTCGAGGAATTTGCTCGATTTTTGGATTTTGAGGCTCCCGCTCGAGTTTCCAAAATTCCAAAAATCCAAAAACTCCAACCCAAGTTTAGGATTTTTGGAAACTCGAACGGGAGCGTCAAAATCCAAAAATCGAGCAAATTCCTCGAGTTTCCAAAATTCCAAACCTTGGGGTGGTTTTTTTTGGATTTTTGGAATTTTGGAAACTCGAGGAATTTGCTCGATTTTTGGATTTTGAGGCTCCCGTTCGAGTTTCCAAAAATCCAAACCTTTGGGGTGGGTTTTTGGATTTTTGGAATTTTGGAAACTGGAGTTTGGATAAGATTTTTTCAGGGGTTCTTATATGATTCCTTATTATGATTTAGGCTGCCTATTCAATTTTATAATACTCCTGTTCACTTTAATGGGTGTCCTTATTTAATGAATAAGATTCCTAATCATTTTACCAGCATTCAAAGTGATTTTCAATAGGGTTCCTGTATTTGTTTAATGAGGTTCGTATTGAATTTTAAAGGATGCCTATTAAAGGGCTTTAATTTGAATACGATTCTTAGTCATTTTAATAGCATTCTTATTCCTAGTTAGTTTTAATAAAAGTTTTAATAAGCTAGCCTAAGAATTTTAATAAGCATCATAACAAGCTTTAAACATATTCCTATTAATGTCAATAGGCTTCTTGTTCATTTTCATAAGATGCCGTACAATTTCTGATTGGATTCCGTCTGCTTTGACAAGCTTCCTATTCATGTAAAAAGGTTTCTTCATTTTAGCAGGGTTTCTCATTCATGTTGACAGGATTCCTAATAATGTTCATAGGATTCCTACTAGATTCCACAGTGCTCCGATTATGCTTTTAAATCCTGTTCCCTATTCATTTCACTTGGACTCGAAGTAATGTTATTGTAACTCTTATTAAATTTGTTAGCAATCCTATTTATTAAAAGTTTTAATAGGGTTCACCATAGTTCTAACAGTACGACTCTTCTTGTTTCAAGTTTTAATGCGTCCACGTTACTTTTTTATAGAATTTTATTGGCTGCTCTTAATCTTTTAATAGGATTCATCTTCATGTTAAACGGATTCCTGTTACTCTTAAACGAAATCATAGATTCTTTTGTAGGGTTCCTATTAATTTTAATAGCATTCCTATGAATTCAAAAGGGTTCCTATTCATTTCAATGGCCTTCCTATGATTCCTCTGAATTTAGGACTCCAAGAAAATTTAATAGGAGCCCTGTTAATTTAATAAGCTTCTACGTATTTCAACCAGGTTCTTATTGATTGTACTAGGATTCTTACTAAGTTTTCACAAAAGACTCGTCTCAATTTCAATAGGGTTCTCATTCATTTTATTGGGTTTCCTATTGATTTAAATGGGGTTCCTATTGAACTCATAACCCTATGAATCCTATTAAATTTAATAGGAACCCAAGTAAAACTAACAGCAATCTTATTGAAATTAATAGCAATCCACGATTTCCAGCAAATTGTTCAGGTCACTTCTGCTTGAGCACTCGCTCGAGCAATTGCTGAGTGGATCAAATTATGTGAATTAAGCTTTTTGGAATCAACGAAGTTAACGAAAGTGTTTGAAATCAATTACGGTAGACAAATCTGTGAAGTTGAGTAAATATTTAATGAATTAGTAAAACCCTACCATGACCAAACTGGCAGGCCGATCTGTCGGACTTCAGGGAAGAGCATATGGAGACTTTTTTTTTGGGGGGGGGGAGGTACCATATATAGATATACACACATATATATATATATGTATATATCTATTGTTTGTGAACGTGTCTGGCTGCTGTGTGCAGCTATGCTGTCCGTAGCCTTTTTTTCGCTTCCGGGGTCTGTCGTAGGGGGGGGTGAGCATATATATATATATACATATTGTCCTTACTTATTTATAGATAATATATATATGTATATATATATGTATATATATATGTGTACATATTTGTATGTATATGTATGTATGCATACTACAGACATCAGTAGATTAATACCTCAAGAAAAGGGCGGCAGTGCAATCCCCAAACACCCGCACTCCCTGCGAAGCGCGCTCGCCCTGAGGATGTCTATGTTGGCGAGGCCCGCGCCTCCTTTGAAGCAAGGGTTTAGGGTTTAGGGTTTAGGGTTTAGGGCTTAGGGTTTAGGGTTTAGGGTTTAGGGTTTAGGGTTCAGGGTTTAGGGTTTAGGGTTAAGGGTTTGGGACCCTAAACTCCAATTCTAAACTCCAAGCTCTGAACCCGGCCGGGATCCCAGAACAGCCACCAAACCCCCCCCCCCACACCCCGCGCCCCCCAGAACCACACCCCCCCTCCCCCCCTTGGGCACAGCTCTGCACGGAGGGGAGGCCCTGACCTAAAACCCATATAAACTATCCCAAAGGGTCCTAAGTACCTACATAGTCGAAAGTAGGGTTTCTATAATAGGAATAACTCTTATGGTTTGGGTAAATGTCCCTCATATAGGTACTTGGGACCCTTTGGGTATGATTTGCTCAAGAACCCAACCCGCCCCCCGCCCCCCTCTCCCCTTTAAAAAAAAATCTATCTAAGGGCAATTTTGGGGGTTATGATTTTCTATATTGGGGGGGGGGGGGGGCTGGGAAGATCCAAATGTGTAGATCCCCTTAAGGGTTCCTAAGAATGACCAAATGGTATCAGGGTACTATTTAGGTGCTCTACCTTTTTTTGGATCCTTAAACCCGAAACCCTAAACCCTGAACCCTATACAGTAGTAACAGGGTGTGATAGTAGTAAAAGCCCTGCAACTCTGACCCAAGGCTGCTAGGGTTTAGGGTTTAGGGTTTAGGGTTTAGGGCTTAGGGCTTAGGGTTTAGGGTTTAGGGTTTAGGGTTTAGGGTTTAGGGTTTAGGGTTTAGGGTTTAGGGTTTAGGGTTTAGGGTTTAGGGTTTAGGGTTTAGGCTAGCTTGGCTTCTGATCCCAGGACCCAGACAGGGCCCCTTCAGTCTTACGTTAGGGTTAGGGCGTTTGCATGGAGTGGTGGCATGGACTGGTTTCGTGACTCTCTGCATGACAGAGCAAAAATCTTCCCAGAGTGTCGTTGTTGGCCCCGTGCCCTCCAGTGCGGAGCTTCAAGCCCTGAATCCGAGACCACAGCAAGGCAATGCTGCTCACCTTGATCTTGATCATCTCCGCTGTGTGTGTGTGGCAGTGCCTTGCCAAGTCAACGAACGACGCACCTTTTTCGTCCGAAGGGATCTATGAGCGACCGCATCTTCAGCCGTTCAACCGACGCAGTGCCAGCATATCAATGTCTTCATCACCAAAGCTCCATTCCGTGACATTCCGTGACTTGGGGCGAGCCGTTACGCCACCTGCTGTTCGTGTCCACAGATTTGCAGGTGTTCCAGAAGCTGGAGAAACTCTAAACCCTAAACCCTAATCCCTACACCAAAGCTGCTGGCAGTGGCAGGGCTTGGTACGTTTCCGTGAAAGCCACGGGCCGGACAGCGTTTATTCAAATTTGGCCCCATGAAGCCCCCTTCCTTTACGGCCCTATAAGTTTGGGGTTCTGTGTGCACCGTTTAGGGCTTTAACTCTAGAAGCCTCTTACACCAACACCAAAGGATAGGATTTCGGGTTTAGGGTTTAGGGCTTAGGGTGTCTTCCAGGTTGACTCTGGGATCTGGGTTGCGTTGGTCTTTGGGTCAAGTTGGATGAGGGTTCAGGGAGGGGTTCACACCCAACACTTCTCCAAGCCCCTTCATTGCGGAGCAGCACCCCATGTCATAGTTGAGGGTTTAAGGGGTTAGGGTTATTGTTGCCCTAAACCCTAAACCCTAAACCCTAAACCCTAAACCCTCAACCCTCAACCCTCAACCCTAAACCCTAAACCCTAAACCCTAAACCCTAAACCCTAAACCCTTCAATGTACGGAATAGTCCTTTATCCCTGACTTTTCAAGGAATTCTGGGCATGGCCTTGCGCCGATCAGAGCCCGAATGTAAGAATCCGAAGCCCCCGCCCCCAACAGCCCTATGCATGTAGAGTTTTCGGGTTTATGGTTTAGGGTTTGGGGTTTGAGGTTTGGGGTTTGAGGTTTTTGGGTTTTTGGGATTCAGGGTTTAGGGTTTTAGGGTTGAGGGTTTTGGCGTTTAGGGTTTGGGGAACTGTTTGCTGGGGTTCATGGTTCTGGGTCTACCTAACTAAGCTACTTCCCCCGCCTCCCCTCCCCCGTCAGAACCCTAAACCCTAAACACCCTAAGCTCCACCTCCCCTAAACCCTAAACCCTAAACCCTCCAAATACACCCTGGACCCCCTGTAACAAGCCGGTAACCTCTGTAAACCACATATAAACCCCATAAACCCCAACAAACCCCCCCCCCCCCCCAAACCCTATAAACCCCGAAAACCCCCTAAACCCCAAAACGCTCCACATGCACGGGGGAAAGTCCCTTGAGCTAAGCCCTAAACCCTAAACCCTAAACCCTGAACCCTGAACCCTAAACCCTAAACCCTAAGAGGTCCCTTTCGACTGGAACGCCTCGGCCGTGTACAGACTTTTGGCAGAGGCGCGGACAAGAACCTGGGGGTCCATTAGGGCTTTGAGCGGTTTAGGGTTTAGGTTTAGGGTTTAGGGTTTAGGGTTTAGGGTTTAGGGTTTAGGGTTTAGGGTTTAGGGTTTAGCGCTTGGGGGGTTTAGGCTCTAGGGTCTGGGGTGTGGGGTTTAAGGCTTGAGGGATTGAGGGCTTCAGGGCTTTAGTATTTGAATCTTCGTGGTTTCGGGGTTTGCCTTTTCAGGGGTTTAGGGTTGAGGGCCTCAAAGATTTTTGGGCTTTGCGGCCTTAGGACTCAGGCGGGCATAGGCTTTGATTAGGGTTTATGGTTTAGGGTTTATGCATTGCCTTGAATCATTGAATATGCTGAAACATAGACCCCTAGAAGAACTTGTTGGAAGTTGAAGCTCGCGGAACTAGGGGCGCGATGGCCTTTGGGGTTCTGTGGGGGTTTAGGGTTTAGGGTTTAGGGTTTAGGGTTTAGGGTTTAGGGTTTAGGGTTTAGGCTCCTAACCCGGGCAGTAAACCCTAAACCCCAGGCAAGCTCTCAGCTGCAGCCCCCCCCCCCCTACCACCAGACTTCGCAGGCAGGCATAGAGCGGGGTGCAGTGCTCCTCGGAGAAGACGCCAGGGTTCAGGTTTGGTGCTTTTGAATCGAGGGCTTCTTTCAAGCGTCGTAAGCCCCAAGCCCTATACCCCAAACCCGAAACCCAAAACACCAAATAGACGCTAAACCCTAAACCCTAAACCCTAAACCCTAAACCCTAAACCCTAAACCCTACATTGCGGTTCCTCCTGCACAGGGATGCAGGAGCGCCGTAGACAGCCTGTATTTGAACCCTGGATTTGGTGAACCCTAGGCCCTCAGGCTTCTGGTTTCGGGCAAGCCCACATACCCTAAACCCTAAACCCTAAACCCTAAACCCTAAACCCTACAGCTTTCACAAAGCCTACAAGCCTTATAGAGGCCCTGTAGACCCTCAAGACCCTAAACCCCGTCAGCCCAATCCCTATACTGAGTGGTTCTCAGTAGGGAATGAGGGAATGAGGCACCCAATTTCATGGAAATGCAGGGAGATCTAAGGCGCCTCATTCCCTCATTCCCTACTAAGAACCAGTGTCGACAAAGCCCGTTTAGGGTTTAGGGTTTAGGGTTTAGGGTTTAGGGTTTAGGGTTTAGGGCTACTAAGAACCAGTGTCGACAAAGACCTACCCCACCAAGGGTTTAGGGTTTAGGGCTTGGGGGGATGTAAGGTGCCAGATTCCCACATTTCCTACTAAGAACCAGTATGTATAGGGCTTCATGAACACCCGCTTCAGATACTTCCAGCCGTCACCCAGGGCACCTACAGTTTAGGGCCAGGGTTTGGGGTTTAGGGTGGGTTTTCAAATTGTATAGGGTTTGGGACTCATTTTTGTTGACCCCCTTGGAGTTTCTGTTTCGTTAGCTCGCGACACCTGCTGGTTTGGGTTTCTTGCTATCCCTTGCCGCCTTTGTGTCTTTGAGTTGGGTTGAAATGTTGCCCCTTATACCAACAGAAACCCTAAACCCTAAACCCTAAACCCTAAACCCTAAACCCTAAACCCTAAACCCTAAACCCAGTCCTTCATCGGTGTAATCCCTATTAAAGACTGTTCGTACAAGGGGGAACATCCCGACTTACCAGCCCTTAAGACCCTAAAACGACCAAAGCCTGGCTTCAAGTTGACATGAATGGTTTAGGGTTTAGTGTTTAGGGTTTAGGGATAATTAAGCCTGATTAAGGTTATTTCAGGGGCGGGGGGGGGAATCTAGCAGGGGTGGTATAGAGGGGGGTAGTACGGGAACTCATGATAGGAGCCATCTCCAAATTCGGCTTGAACACATGGAGTGTATGAACCGCTGAGGCATCATAAAGTTTAGGCTTGAGAGTCAACCCTAAACCCCGAACCCTTTCCACCTTTAAAAACCCGCAGCCCTTTGAACCCTGAGGCTTTATAGGGTTTAGGGTTTATGGTTTAGGGTTTAGGGTTTAGGGTTTAGGGCTACTAGAGCTTGGGGCCCTCAAACCGTTCCCAAGGCACTCGGTGAAACTGCTCTCCCTCCGGCCGGGTCGCTCCACAGTAGGCGCGACAATGCAGTTCAGGGTTTAGGGTTTAGGGTTTAGGGTTTAGGGTTCAGGGTTCAGGGTTCAGGGTTCAGGGTTCAGGGTTCAGGGTTTAGGGTTTAGGGTTTAGTGTTTAGGGCTCAGGGTTTAGAACCCTCAACCTCAGCTTTAGGGTTGCGCTTGGAGGTGCAGGGTACTCAAAAGCCCGAATTTGAACTGCACTGATAAGCCCCCCTAAGTCCTCGCAGGATATCAGTAGACGTATAGCTGGGGGCTATACCTACCCATGATCCAAGTGGGTTTTCTCTGGGGACGTGCTTGGGGCTGCTGACTGTTTTTACGATTTAGGGTTTGGGGTTTAGGGTTCAGGGTTTAGGGTTTAGGGTTTGGGGTATGCGGTACCCGACGCAATCCCTTGAAGGGTGTATCCTTAGACCTGCTACATAGCGCCTAAATGTCAGGGCTAACCCTAAACCCTACACCCTAAACCCTAAACCCTAAATGTCAGGGCTGATTATGTAGTTCCCAAGGCCTCTGTTCCAGTTTTGAGCCCATTGCCCTCTTGGGGCTTCAGGGTTTAGGGGTTTAGGGGTTTAGGGGTTTAGGGTTTGGGGTTTGGGGTTTAGGGTTTAGGGTTTAGGGCATCAACTAGCTTCCGGAAGACGTGAGCTGCACCACGATGCTTTCTTCTTGTGACCAGCATGGCACGCATCTTTTCTACCCATGTATCGGGATGCTCCCTCTTATACTAACAGCCCCTTAATAGGGATTTTCATAGGGGGATACGACAATCCCCTAGTAAGGACTGTGAGTATAAGGGGGACACATACTCATGTATCAAGTCTTGCAGCGATTGAAGACTCAGACGATCACACGCGGTAGTTTTTACATCTGCCCTGCCCCAAACTCCGAAGCACAACCCATTCTATTTTTATGGGGGTTCTTAAGGGAGGGGGCTTCAAGGGGGGGTTAGGTACCTAGGGAATCTTAGGGAAGCCTGCTTGAAATCCTTGAAGAGTCGCACGGAGTTGGGAACCTTGGGAACATGCCCTCTTGAACCCCACTACTTTAAAAACCCTACAGTACAAGGGTTCCTTTATCGTCGCGTAAGTACCCAGAAGATGAGTCCCAAAGCCTACCACCAGAAGCCACAGCACGCCAGGTGTGATTCTTCGCGTTGTGGGGGGCTTGGTGTTTAGGGTTTTTGGGGTTTAGGGTTTTGTGGTTTAGGGTTTTTGGGGTTTAGGGTTTGGTAAGGAGTAAGGCTTTGTTTGTACTGGCTTACCCCAGTGCCGCTGTCGTATGGAGAGAGCCAAGCCAAGCCGCCCCAAACAAATGACATTGATAGGCCAAACCCGGAACCCTAATCCCTAAAACCTAAACAGTGGCTTCTTTGTCTGCACACTTTATGCAACGTTTGCCGGTTTAGGTGCGTCAGAGATTTGGGCAGGTTTAAGGTTCACGATGCAGGTTTCCTGGAACCCTAAACCTGAAATCCTGAACCCCAAAACCCCTAAACCCTCAAAACCCTAAACCCTAAACCGCTGCGATGCCATTGCTTATGTTTATGAGGGGCGTTTGCGCCTCATCTCCTTCCAGACCCCTAGCCCCAAACCCATGTTTTGCTTAAAGCCCGTCCCTCCGGATTTCATTTCTTGTAATGTTTTGCAAGCACTGACCCAAGCCCCAAACCGCATGGATGAACGGTCGCTTTACCACCGACCTTCTGGGTACTGCTGCAAAAGCAACAAGCTATTCTAGGGTTAAGGGTTTAGGGTTTAGGGTTTAGGGTTTAGGGTTTAGGGTTTAGGGTTTAGGGTTTAGGGTTTAGGGTTTAGGGTTTAGGGTTTAGGGTTGCCCAATGGCTTCAGCTGCTGCAGGGGACGTCTTGGTTGGCCTCGTGTGTTTGACACTTGCGCCGTCACTGCGCGAACAACACAACGCAGAGCGCCTAGAAAAAACAAAGACGACACTACCGCACTTCATTGTCCACATTGGGTGAATTCTGACTTTTGTCCTCCTTCAGCCTAACATGGCACTCGCGCCTGCCGACGACCTCTAGACTTTCCAAGGCCTGGTGTGTCGTAAATAACAGCGCTGTAGTAGCGAATAGAACCCACTTAACATCTTGAACCCGACACCAACGCCCTCTGACACGCCACTTTGCGTGGCAAACGACTGCAATGGTGCCCAAACCCTGGACACCCCTAGACCCTAGACCCTAAACCCTACACCCTAAACCCTAAATTCTTGTTGGAGCTACAGGTCGACGGCGACGCCGCCGATGAGGTCATGGAGAGGCAAGGGTTTAGGGTTTAGGATTTATAGGGTTTAGGGTTTAGGGTTTAGGGTGTAGGGTGTAGGGTTTAGGGGTTTGGGGTTTAGGTTTTAGGGTTTGGGGTTTGGGGCTTAGGGTTTAGGGTTCAGGGGGATTCGGGTCCGGTTGCAGTTGTGGACTTAGGGTTTGGGGTTTAGGGTTTGGGGTTTAGGGTTTACGGTTCAGGGTTTGGGGCATAGGGCCTAGTTGCAGTTGTGGGTTTCGAGGTTGGGGTTTAGGGCCTGTAGATCTTGAGGTTTCGGGTGTAGGGTTTGGGTTTCGGGCTTAGGGTTTGGAAGGGTGGGGATCTATAGGAATTGGTTTTGCCCATTGTTGCAGTTTTCCCTTTGCCTGCAAATGGAATCCTTACGACATGTTTTACTTCTGGCGGTTGTGCGGTATGCCAAAGCCACCAACATCCAGTTAGTTCAGGGTTCGGGGTTTAGGGTTTATGCTTCAGGCCAGGGTCCACAGTCTGCTCTAACTCCGTGAGAGCTGGCCACAACGAATTCGTCTGCTCGTTCGCTTTCCCCACTTCGCCCCCAAAGCTCTTAAAGCGAAACCATTTTTCTGCCTGCCGTTTGCTATGTCCTCTTCCAGGATTCAGGCCAAGATCCCTGCAAGGCTCCAAAACCCTAAACCCTAAACCCTAAACCCTTAACCCTTAACCCTTAACCCTGAACGCTCTGTGAAACGGACTGGTGCGGGAGCTTGTGCCGCCCCGGGCTTATGGGTTCAAATGCCTCCTAAGATCCAGTTGAAGGGTTTAGGGTTTAGGGTTTAGGGTTTAGGGTTTAGGGTTTGGGGGCCAGTCAGCGCAGTTGCGTGTAGGACCGGCCCAACTCGCCCTGACCAGCGCGCACGTTCCGAACGTGCAAAGACCATGCCTGCAAGCGCTTTGTTTGAGAGGTTTTGTTCCTTGCAAGTTTAACCCTAAACCCTAAACCCTAAACCCTAAACCCTAAACCCTAAACCCCTAAACCCCTAAACCCCTAAACCCCTAAACCCACCATATCTCCAAGCTCTGGACACAAGTCCCCTGCTTCATGAAAGCTTCAATTACCCCCCCCCCCCCCCCCAACTTGGGATGTTCCCCCCTATTCTAACAGTCCTTAGCAGGGATTGTAATTGGGGGGGGGGGGGGGGGGTGTACTATAATTTAGGAAAGACTGTTAGGAGAAGCGGGAACATCCCCCACCCCCAGCCCTTGACCCTAAACAGCTCAGGGTTTAGGAGTTTAGGATTTTTTTGGGGTTTCGGACTCCTCGGCCCTAGATGTCTAACCTTCTAAGTCGACCCTAGGCTGGTTCAGGGTTTAGCGTTTATGGTTTAGGCATTAGGGTTTCCTAAACCCTACTCCTCCCGAACACTAATCCTCCTTAACCCTATACACTTGAACCCTCTAAGCCTCTACATCCTGAACCCTACTCGCTTTGAAAAAACCCAACCCTCCTAAACCCTGTGTGCCTGGACCCTAATCCTCCTAAACACGAATCCGTTCTAACCCTGTGAGCCCACACCCTAAACCCGAAATCCTAAACCCTAAACCCGAATCCTCCTAAAACCGTAAACCGCCAGGCTCAATGGCTACGAGTTAATTGTCCGTGGCAAGCCCAGGCTCCCTTGGCCTAGGGTTAAGGGTTTAGGGTTTAGGGTTCAGGGTCCAGGGTTCAGGGTTCAGGGTTTAGGGTTTAGGGTTTAGGTATGCCTGCAGCTTAGACGCCCTTGTAACACCTGTGGTTTAGGGTTCAGGGTTTCGGGCTTAGGGTTTGGGGATTAGTGTTCGGAGTTTAGGGTTTGTGGTTTAGGTTGTAGGGTTTCGGTTTTCTTGAGATGATTAAGATTTCAGGTCTGGAGTCTCCAGAAAGTTCGGGGAGTTTCTCTCTCACTCTAGAGTTAAGTTTAAGTTACAGGGGCTTGAGGATTCAGGGTTTAGGGGGGGCGGGCACAGGTAGGGCAAGATAGATAGAACTGGTAAGCAGTTCTCCGGCACTCAACTCAAGACCTTAATCCCAAAGCTCTGGACCCTGCTGGCTTTATGAATGCCCAACGCCCTACCGCCTCAAAACTCCACGCATGAAGATACCCCAAACCCTAAACCCTAAACCTTAAACCCTAATCCCCCTTTGCCGCCAACTTGCGAAGCAAGCCCAACATGTTTTGGCATCTCCTGGACACAACCTCGCCTTGGATGCCATGCAGCGGAGTCTCCAGCGGAGGGTTGCTTATCCCAAAGGATCCTAAGTACCTTTTTGGGTTTAGGGTTTAGGATTTAGGGTTTCGGGTTTAGGGATAGTAGTATTTCCTCTTGTAGAAACCCTACTTTCTACTATGTAGGTACTTAGGACCCTGTGGGCATCATTGTCTTGGTCACGTGCGTTGTAACAGCCATCGAGTCTGTCGATCATGGCGGCGCTGGAGCTTGGCGAGCGACACCTGCAAGCTAGTTTTGCAAACTCTTGGTTGCGGCTGCTCCCGACATGTTAGACGTTCCGGGACCCTAAACCCTGAACCCTAAATTGCATATTTCGGGAACATGGTAGCGGACCTTAGCCGTGCGCTCCCTAGTACCTAAACAGCTCCATGCCTCATACCCTAAACTCACCCCAATCCCGAAACCCTAAACCCCAAACCTCAAACTAAACCCTAAACCCTAAACCCCAAACCCTAAACCCTAAACCCTAAACCTACCCAGCGCAGGCCTTTGAAAGCAAGGCTTGCCGACGCACCCCAATGGCCCGAAGCTCCGGAGTCAAGGCGGGCACACTTCCAGAGGGTTGAGGGTTTAGGGTTTAGGGTTTAGGGTTTAGGATGTAGCACTTTCAGTGGAGTCATTTTCGGACCCCTGGGTCTAGGGTTCCGGGTTTAGGGTTTAGGGTTTAGGGTTTAGGCTTCCTCGCACCCTAAGAGGGTTTTCTTACTGTGCTCCGAAGATGGCCCTTATATTCCCTTAGAGGATCTAAACCCTAAACCCTAAACCCTAAACCCTAAACCCTAAACCCTAAACCCTAAACCCTAAACCCTAAACCCTAAACCCTAAACCCTAAACCCTAATCTTCAGAAAGTGTCCCAAAAACCAAGGGTACAACCCTTGGGGTCCAAGACAGGGTCCCATGACACGTAGAGTTCAGGGTTTAGAATTTAGGGTTTAGGGTTTAGGGTTTGGGGTTTGGGGTTTAGGGTTTAGGGTTTAGAGGGCTCGGGTTGAGGATTTGGTGATGTAGGAAGTCGCCCCCGAACACACACCGTTTCCCTGATCCGCGCTCCCTGCAGGAAGCCAGCACCAAAACAGCAGATGAGGCCGATTGTAGGGTTTAGGGTTAAGGGTTTAGGGTTTAGGGTTCAGGGTTTGGGGTTTGGGGTTTAGGGTTTAGGCTAAGGGCTTAAGGTTTAGGGAGTCGCTTCGCCTCCGCCTTCGTCTTTGTCTTTGCGGTTGCGCCCGTTGCTTTCTGCATGTCGGCCCGAAACTCTACCCCTAAAGACATGCCGGGGCCCTAAACCCTGAACCCTGAACCCTGAGCCCTGAGCCCTGAACCCTGAGCCCTAAACCCTGAACCCTGAACCCTGAACCCTGAACCCTGAACCCTGAACCCTGAACCCTGAACCCTTACCCCCCTCAAAAAACCCTGAAGAATCCGATTGCCACACCCTTGGGGACGACATGAACCCTAAAAGGGTTTATGGTTCATATACCTTAATAGGAACTATAGTAGTCAGGGTATATGACCCCAATGACCCTAAACCCTAAACCCTCAAAAAGCCCAGAAGATTCCGATTGCCACACTGGGAGGCGCCCTCGCGACCAAACCCAGCTCCAATGAGGTCAAACAAGTTTAGAGATCGGTTTTATTTCGTGACGGAGCTGTGCGAGTCTCTGTTTAGGGTTTAGGGTTTAGGGTTTAGGGTTTAGGGCTCAGGGGCTTAGGGTTGAGGCTTGGGGTCAAGGCGTCAGAGGAGACCACGCGCACGCGCTTCCGGTAGCCCGCAGGACTTCCTGTCCCCGCCTGTCTTGCCTTTGCCCAGTATGTGGGACTGAAGCTTTCTGGCCCCACGACTCTGGGATTCAAGCCGCATTCGGGTTTAGGGATTAGGGTTTAGGGTTCAGGGTCAGGGTTCAGGGTTTAGGGTTTAGGGTTTAGGGTTTAGGGTGGAAGGGTGGAAGGGTGGAAGGGTGTGCAGTTACCTGAATGGCTTAATGCTTCAGAACCCTAAACCCTAAGCCCGCTTACGCAACATGGCATAGGCATGCGTTTTGTCCATACTATCTTATATTGGGTGGTACCCTTGTTTTGCAATTGTGTAGGGTTTGGGTATGGCGGGGGAAGGGAGGGGTGTAAGGTGTATGCAGGCTTTTGGGGTTCATGGCTTCTAGTTTACTCATGAACAAATTAGGGTGCGGTGGGGACGCGAATCTTTCAATGGCAACCACAACTCTTGCCTCAATCTCCACATCCCCCAATTTTTTTGTGAGGTTTGGAGCTGGGGGTTCAGGGGCCCCTGTGTTGTGTAACTGGAATGTGTTCTTCATAGGTTAATGTATCAAAAGGGGCTGATAATTCTGATTTCCCCTCAGATACCAGAAAGTTGCCTTTGAGGCTTCGCCGCTAGCTCTGCAACCAACAAACGCCCTAGAAAGCTCTAAACCCCAAGCCTTTTTTGTTGCTATGGGTCTTGAGAGCTGTGGTGCTTCAGAAAGCATTAAACCCCTCAGCTCCGCCCTAAACTCTTAACCCCTAAACCTCAACATCATCAAGTGGGGCCTGATCGCTGCACAAAGGCAGAGATGGCTCGTGGCTTTTGCCCAGGGAGGGTCTTCCATTGCAGCATGTTAAATATCGCTTCTGGGGGGGGGGTTATGGTTTGAGGTTTTTCCAAAGCCTAAACCCTAAACCCTAAACCCTAAACCCTAAACCCTAAACCCTAAACCCTAAACCCTAAACCCTTGGCCCTAAACAGTTCACTAGGACCAGCAGCCCGGTAGCACTGTAATTATGTTAACCCCCTTAAAAGGCGCCCTTTGTAAGCCCCATACATTATGCAAAAGGTTTGGGGTTTAGGGTTTGGGGCTTAGGGTTGAGGGTTAAGGGTTAGGGTTTAGGGTTTGGGGCTTGGGGTTCAGGGTATTGGGGTTTAGGGTATTATGCAAAAGGTTTGTCTTGTCATTTGCACAGTGGCATTGCTGGCTGTGGGTTCCCATACCATTCTATGCCCAAGCCCTAAACCCTAAACCCTAACCCCTAAACCCTAAACATTAAATCCTCAACCCTAAACCCTAAACTTAAACCCTAAACCCTAAACCCTAAACGCTACTTATCTTGAGGTTCCTCGGTCCTAGGCGCGTCTTCAAGTAGCTCGATCTCGCGGCCACCTTGCATGGAGGCAGCAGGCTGACCTCCCAGAAGTTCACCCTAAACCCTAAACCCTAAACCCTACAGGGTGGGGCCCCCTTACTATACTAACTGTAGTTAAGGGACTTATAACCTAACTTAGGGTCCTTATAACCCAATTTAGGGCCCTTATAACTCTACTTATAACTAGGGGGGCCCACCCTGTAAACCCTAAACCCTAAACCCTAAACCCTAAACCCTAAACCCTAAACCCTAAACCCTAAACCCTAAACCCTAAACCCTAAACCCTAAACCCTAACCCTATAAACCCTAAACCCTAAACCCTAAACGCCCAGAAGGCCAGGCCAAGGCCTCCAGGAGGGGGGGAGAGGACTGCCGCCTCCTCGCCACGCCTGCCCGACCCTGCCGCTGCAACCGAGCTCATGGAGTCGCTCGACTGGGTAGGGTTTAGGGTTTAGGGTTTAGGGTGGAGGGTTTAGGGTTTAGGGTTTAGGGTTTAGGGTTTAGGGTTTAGGGTTTAGGGTTTAGGGTTTAGGGTTTAGGGCGGGGGGAGGGGAGGTTAGGATAGGGTAGGGTAGGGGTAAGTGGAGGAGATAGGAGAGAGAAAGGACTCCGAAGCCCGGCTACGTAAGCTCCGTGCTCGTGGTCCACACGCACGAACAAACCAGGTTTCTGACCGCAGCAGGGCAAGAAAAAGGTGCTGCAAGTTTCAGGGTGTAGACTATAGGTTTTAGGGTTTACTGTTTAGGGTTTAAGTAGGGTTTAGGGTTGACCCTAATCCCTACGGTTTAGGTTTAGGGTCCTAAACCCTCATCCCTAGACCCTACACGACGCTTCGAGCGTCGCGGCATAGGGGTGAGGACAAACCTCTAATTACAGCCTCCCACACCTTAAATTTAGGGTTTAGGGTTTAGGGTTTATGGTTTAGGGTTTAGGGGTTAGGGTCAACCCTAACCCTAAGCCCTAAACCCTAAATGTGTGGGTCGTGGCCCCTTTTCTGAAACCGGACACCCGCAGCCGCAGCCCTCAACCCTCGAATCCCAAACCTTCAACCCGTAGACCCTAAGAAGCCACAACGTCCCTAAACCCTAAACCCTAAACCCTAAACAAAACCTCATCTAACTTCTGCAGGGAGGAGGCTCAAACAGCTCTGCACCGCTAGCGGTCTCCAGCAACCATGGGTCACGGAGGCACCGAGCTTAAGGGCCTTTAGTAGCAGGTTAGGGTTTAGGGTTTAGGGTTTAGGATTTAGGGTCTAGGGGGGTTGCAGGGTTTTTGCGTTTTGGGTTTCGGAGGTTAAGGGTAACCCCAAGCAAAAATGCACTCATGAGCCCCCCTAAGTCCTCTATGTCGAAGTAGCTTATAAGTTATAAGTGGACGTATATTTTGGGGGTTGGGAACTTCCCCCCCCTATAATAACAGTCATTAGTAGGGATGATGCTGCCCCCTATTCTAATCTCTATTAAGGACTGTTCGTATAAGGGGGAATTTCCCAACCTTGGTAGGGTTTAGGGTTCAGGGTTTAGGGTTAGGTGGCTTCGGGTTTAGGGTTTGGGGGGGGGGGGGGGGGGGTTCAGGTTTTCGCGTTTTTGGGTTTAGGAGCTGAGGAGTTTAGAGTTTAGGGGTTAGGGGTTGTAAGGGCTTTGGTTTCTTCAGGGTTTCGCATTCAGACCTCGCACTACCTTAGGGGTTTGTAGGGAACCTTAGATCCCTAACCCTAAACCCTAAACCCTAAACCCCAAACCCTAAACCCTAAACCCCAGACCCTAAACCCCAAACCCGAAACCCCAAGCCCTGAAGTCTAATCAACTGGATGGCTCGGCTCCCGAACCTCTAGGCCCTAAACGCTAAACGCTAAACCCTAAACCCTAAACCCTAAACCCTAAACCCTAAACCCTAAACCCTAAACCCTAAACCCTAATTATGGGGTCCTTAAGGGTTTCATGGGGAGTGCGTATCTAGGGTGCTTAAAGGGATGCTTAGGGAGCCTCAGAGGCCAGTGGGGTGTATCAGGGAACCCTAAACCCTAAACCCTAAACCCTAAACCCTAAACCCTAAACCCTAAACCCCAAACCCCAAACCCCAAACCCCAAACCCCAAACCCCAAACCCCAAACCCCAAACCCCAAACCCCAAACCCCAAACCCCAAAGACTTGACTCTTGTCCGTTCTCCGGGAAGCCGATGACACCACCCCAGAAAGCGTCCAAGAGCTTAGGCAAAATGGGGTGTAGGGTTTAGGGTTTAGGGTTTAGGGTTTAGGGTTTAGGGTCTAGGGTCTAGGGTTTAGGGTTTAGGGTTAGGGTTTAGGGTATATAGGGTTTAGGATTTAGGGTTTAGAGTCAACTGCATGAGTCTCTCTCCAGCTTGCCGGCGGCACGGTGCTGTGGGTTGCCGCGCTTTACGTGGCGGGAATGCCTGAGGCGCTTCAAAATGCGTTGCGACTTCATCCTGAGCTTTGTCTAGCACCGCTGGACTGCCACGGCGCCGGGAGGACCCTAAACCCTAAACCCTAAACCCTAAACCCTAAACGTGGTGTCCCAGTTTACCTGAGGATCGAGCCTGATGTGGACCCCCTTGAACCCTCTTCCCCTAAGAATTTAGGGTTTAGGGTTTAGGGTTAGGGTTTAGGGTTTGGGGTTTAGGGTGTAGGCTGTAGGGTGTAGGGTGTAGGGTGTAGGGTTTAGGGTTTAGGGTTTGGGGTTTAGGGTTTAGGGTTTAGGGTCCAAACAACCCTAGACCCCGGAGCCCGGGGAAACGGCGTAAACCCTTAAACCTCAACACCAGAAGCCGGCTTAATGTCTTGAAGCCCTGAAGTAACCCCAAAACCCTAAACCCTAAATGAGCCAAACTACCCCCCCCCCCCCCCAAAAAAAAAAAAAAAAAAGAAAATGAACCCTAAATCCCAACTATTGAAGCCTGAATCCCAACTCCCCCTGAGTCTCTGCAAGTAATCCCCAAACCACAAACCCTAAACCCCAAACCCTAAACCCTAAACCCTTTATAAACCCTAAACCCTAATAACACCCTGCCGATTTTCATCTGGGAGGCAACAACATCATTCCAAATGTGCACTTCCGGAAGGTTCTGGTCCTCAGATGCCGTGAAGGTTGCTGGGGTTTAGGCTTTCAGGGCCCTAAACGCCCTAAACCCCCTAAACCCTAAACCCTAAACCCTAAACCCTAAACCCTAAACCCTAGACCCTAGACCCTAGACCCTAAACCCTAAACCCTAAACCCTAAACCCTGACCCTAAACCCGAAACCCGAAACCCGACAGGGGTTTAGGGGGCCAGTGAGTTGCAGGCCTTAGGGGCTTAGCTTGTAAGGGCCTCCGGGCTATTTAAGACCCCGACCGACTAGAGTTGAGGGTTAGCTTAGGGTTTAGGGTTTGGTGTTTACGGTTGATGGTTTAGTCCCGTTCTGCCCCAGCCCTGTCACCTACTCAGGTGACAAAGAAGTGCAGCCAAGACTTGA